GACCTCCTTTATCTCCTCACACTCCCAGCCACTACCCACCCGCCCTAACCAGCCAGGGCCAGGTGCCAGACAGCTAGGAACAACCCCTGTGCCCCAGAGTCCCCCAAAATTATTCAAACCAGCCAATTTTAGACCTCCTTACCCTGCCTTGCCAGTTCCTTCCCAGGGAAACCAGAATGGAGGGTGTGGCCTGCAGTTCCCCGCTCACCCTGCTCTTACACTCCTGACCTATGTTTTCCCGTGTGTCCCCTCCTCTTGGGAACTGTAATAAACTGTTTTTTTTTTTCAAGGGCAATAGTCTCCTGATTGCAGGCCTTACTGATCCTCGAATTTTCCATGAAAACATATATTTTAAAACAGCACCATGTCTGAATACGACAAATTCCTAAGGTGTCCAGGATCACAAGTGGTAGGAGCACTTTATCCAGGAAAATCCGTATCCACCAGGCAGTAAGTACCCGCAATTTCCCTGCCCTTAAGATGTGAAAGAGGCCAGAGCACCTATGTGGAGGGCGGGGCGTGTGTGAGTGGGGGGAGACTGTGTGTGTGCTGGGAGTGGGGGCATCCTCTTCTCAGCACTCCTCAGACCTTCTCGGATCATTTCCCAGGAGTCCTGAAGATGCCAGAATGATCAATAACTTGCACGAGGCTGCTGGGCAGGGAGAGCAGAAGTTACTGCTCAGAGGGTTGAAACCTGGCAAGTGTAGTTCTGGCCCAGGTCACAGAACCTGAGGAGTCACTAAGGACAGACCTGGGACACAGAATCCTCTGGTCCTGTCAGAGCAGGTAGACAGCTAGAGATGAGCAGAGAAAGGGGGGCTCAGGCCAAATGGCAGGAATTGGGCAGAAAGGAGGGACACAGTCCAAATGCAGGAAGCCATGCATCATGTAAGCACCAGGGGTCCCTGCGCAACGAAAGAAAAGCAGGAACCTCTGGGCTGATAAGTGGTCACACCTTTTGGGGTGATGAGCAGCGTGGAGGCCCGCAAAGAAAGGTGGGAAAAGGCAGGAATTTCCAGGGTCTGAATGTAACCTTTTGTTCATTATGCCCTTATTTCAATAAAATTAGTCTTGCAGATTAAAATAATGTACCCATCATGTACCGACACCATGACACTTCCAATTCAGACTGAATGAGGACAAAAATCTCTCCTCCCTTTGGGAAGGTGGAGTTGGGATGAAAATTAGGGAATACGACCCCAGACCGTTCCCTTCCTAATGAATATCCTGCCCATTCATTTTTACACCCTATGTAAACAACTTGCCAAAGAAACACTGGGCAACTGCTCACCTGAGCCTGCCCACTCTCCCCTTGAGAGTGTACTATCCATCCTTTAATAAATCCTCACTTTACCTTTTTAACCACTGTGACTTGTCTCTCAATTCTTTTTGGGGCAGGACAAGAACCTGGACACCGGTTGCATCTACCAGCAACAGGCCCACTGGTGCCCAGCTGTATGCGTGATCTCTCCTCCTGCCTTCCAGGAACACTTTAGGATAGCGTTACAATCCTGTTCTCAAAGACCATGGATTCCAACGTAATGTGAGGCCTTCTTAGCCACGCTGTTGGAAGCAATAGTTAATAGAAAATGGAAAGCACAAACAGAATCCTCTCTAGGCCACCCCACGAGAAGAGGGAGAGAAAACAGCCAAGATTCCAGACATAACCTTATGCAGACTCTTCTAAACCTGGCCCCTGAGGGACTACATGAAAAAAGAAACAGTCCATCTGAGGTTACCCAGTCTTCAGCCAGGGCCTGTCGGTGAGTTTTGCTCACTGAGATAAAACCTTCCTGTGTTCTGGAGTTTGTCCGCGGGCCTTGGAGCTCATTTCTGCAGTTCCCATTTAGATGGAGCTCATCTCATAACCCACCCAGAGGTTTAGAAGAGGAAGAGGAGGTGGAAGAAGAGGGGAGTAGGGAAGTATACTGGATTGGATAGTGTCCTCCAAAAATTCATGTCCATCCTGGAACCTTAGAACATGACCTTGCACAGAAATAAGGCTGTGGCAGATGTAATTAGTTAACATGAGGTCATGCCAGAGTAGGATGGGTCCTTAATCCAGTAGGATTGGTGTCCTGATAAGAAGATGAGAAGTGACACAGACAGGAGAACACCACGTGAAAACACACGGGGAGAACATCATGGGATGATGGAGACAGAGTTTGGAGTGATGTAGCTGCCTGCAAAGGAAGGACCAGGATTTCTAACAGACACCAGAAAGCTAGAACGGACACAGAAGGATTCTTCCTATAGGTCTCAGAGGGAGCATAGCCCTGCGAAAACCTTGGTTTCAGACTTTTGGCCTCTGTGAGAAAATTAATTTCTGTTGCTTCCAGCCACCCAGTTTTTAATACGTTGTTACGGCAACCCTAGGAAATGAATGCAAGGGAGGAAATTAAGAAGTCTATCCAGGAAGCATTCTGGCTCCACTGCCACATCAGTGAAACGGAGGGGCCAATCTTAAGAAAAGTCATTCAGTCCCCAACGCCCTGAGGGGACCTTTCCAAGCTTGCCATCAGTGATGTCCTTCCATCCCTATGCACTGACGGCCCTCAGGACTAGGACCAGGATGCTGAGCTGCAAGGAACAGAGCTGGTGAGAGTCAGGCACTGTCTCAGTAGCACTTGGTATGAAGTTTTCTGGCTTTCCTCCCTTTGGTCTGATGAGGGCAAGAGATAGGTAATGGCATTAAACTGCTCTCCTGCAGGAGACTTCAGGGGGAGACACACCGACTCCTCCAGACTCCTGCTCACCACACGAGGGGTTCAGTTTGTGCAATTATGTTTCCTGTAAGCCCAGAAGGAAAACATCTACACAACCATCTCTTGCTGCCACACACCACCACCTCCACTACCACCCGCTCCCGGCCCACTGCTCACAGGTCAGAGCGGCCTCACGGCGGAGCCCTCAGGAGTGTCCGGCATAAACGGGTATCACAGTTGTGCTGTGGCTGGAGCTGAAAAGCGGCCAACTTCCTGCTGAGGAGCATCACTGTTCCCCACCGCAGGGGCTGGGCTTCCACTGAGGGCCAGGAAACACAGTTAAAAAGGTGGCAGAGAAGGCAGACCCGCCCCAACAGCCTGGGCAGCGAGGCAGACATCTGTCATTTCCTCAGACTGACCGCTTAACCACTGCTGTTTTGTTTTCTCTTCTGATTATCCCTGGTGTTTGTCTCCGCTTCTTCTTTCGATTTTCTTTCTTCCTTATCATGTCCCTAATGGTAGCTGAATTATGACCACCCTCCCTAAGCCCTAGATCCTGTGAATATGTTAGTTTACTTGACGAAAGGGACTTTGCAGATGAAATTAAGATGCTAACCAGTTGAGTTTAAAACAAGAGGGTTGTTCTGGGTTGTCTGGATTGGTCCAATGGAATCCTAGGACTTTTTAAAAGTAGAAGAAGGTAGAATGCTGCTTACAGATGTGCAGTGGAAGAGGCAGGCAGAGGGGAGGTCTGAAGTGTGAGACAGACTTGACCCATCATTGTTGACTCTGAAGATGGAGGAAAGGGGCCATAAGCCAAGACGCATGGGAAGCCTATAGAATCAAGGAACAGACCGCAAGTAAAGGGGTCCTCAGTCCTACAGCTGTATGAAACTGAGTTCCACCAACAACTGGAATGAGCAGGAACGTGGATTCCCCCTTCGAGCGTCTAAGAAGGAACACAGGCTTACCAGCATCTTGATTGTGGCCTCGTGAGATTCTGAGCAGAGTCAAGGCTGCCTGATTTCCCACCTAAGGAAACTGAGAGAATGAATCTGTATTGTTTTAAGGGGCTAAGTTTGTAGTAAGTTACAGCAATGATACAAAATGAACACACCTAACAAAGCTAGTTCCCTCAGGAAGCAAATCCAGGTTTCTCTCATGAGGATGGAGCACATTCCCTTAACATCTCTCTCCTCACACATCTGTCCTTACATGGAGGAGTATGATCCTCTTTGTTATGAATTAGCCCAGCAACCGAGCCTCGTTGCAGGGAGGATATTTTAACTTCGGTTTCTCCTATGTTGTTCCAGGAAGGCTCAAGTCCACTCACCTAAACCAAACTGCAAGGGGAAAAAAAAGTTGCCTAAGGTTTACTCGCTGAATGAACAAAATCACATCTTCTCCTAAAACCCATACTTGCCAAGTTTACCTTTTATATTTATTGGGATGTCACAGCCCCTTTTGAGGTATTTATTTGCACTCTTCAGGGTTTTCTTTCTTCTTTTGTTTACTTCTGAGTATTTCAATTTATACACAAAGTGATGCATCTAAAAACTATTTTCCAGTATATAAAATAGCTAAAGCAGTAAGATGAGAATATGCTCTGTATCCACCTCTTAAAAAGTTCAGAAGTTTACCTGCATGTCATAGGTATGCTCGTATTAATTTAACACCGAACTAGTTTTTTTCAATAATCAATACAATTATAACATGGCTTTTAAATTTTTATTTAATGAGTAATAAGGGGAAAATAAGAGATAATCAGTCTGTGGTAGAGAGACTTCAGGAAAGCTGACAGGTCAAGATATGGGGAAACCAAAAAGCCGTGGGAGTTCAACATTACAGTGGCGACATCTACACACTGTTTGTTGATGAGTAACATGTACTACATTAAAAAAAAATTACTTAAGGTGGTATCTGAAGTAATTCAAAAATGTAATGCCATGTGTCAGTGTATCTATCAGGATAATTTTTGCTGCAAAAATGAGCCTCAACTCAACTCAAATAGCTTAGCCAGGGAGGAAATTCATTCTCCCCACCACTGCAAGTCCAGGGGAGGCACTGGCTCCTAGGTCAGTCGGTTAAGTAGCTCAATGCCATTATCAAGGACCCAGATTCTTTCTCTCTCTCCACTTTGGCCTTTTCAGCAAACAGCCTGGCTCTTGTGGTCCCAGGATGATTGCCAATGGTCCAGGCGCCCCATCCAGACTCAACACCATCCAGAAAAGGGCAGAGATCATCTTGTTTGGAATTCTTATATATGAACAATAATAAATAGCAAAGTGAGCCCTAACTATGTGCCCTAAGTGCAAGGTACACTCTGTATATATCCTCATTTAATCCTCTCAACAACCCTATCTGACGAATATCATAATTATGATCCTCATTTTCTAGAAAATGAAGGCACAGAAAGTTATGCATCCTGCATCAGTTACTAAGTGGTGGAATTAGAATTCAAATCCAAGCAGTCTGACTGTAAAGCCCAGTGCTGAAACCACTACGCTACACTGCCTCTCACATAGCCAATTCTGCCCTTAACGCCTTGGAGGGTCCAGAAATATTGGGGTTCCAATTTAGAACATGTTCATGAATGATGCTGGTGCAGTGGGTTAACTATTCGAGGAGATAGACAAAATGCTATCTTCTAAAATAAGACAGTTAGGAATTAAATGGGAGACCCTACACAGTCTGCCCCAAGAAGGCCTCTTTTAATAAGCACAACACACTCACTCACCATGCTGTTACAGTCAGAGATGACTGTGGATATTCTGACACACACACACTGGATTTATTTGACATCTGTAGCAGACAATACAAAACACCAAGTAGTTTATGACAAAAGGGAAATGTATTAAAATGACAAAAAGCCCAAGAGCAACAGTGTAGTCAGACTTCAGAAATCACTGGATACAGGAAACAAGATTTCTGAGGAATCTAAGTAGAACTGTCTCTTCCTTTTTTTTTCTTTCCGTTTTATTGAGATATAACTGACATACAGCTCTATATAAGTTTAATGTTACAGCATAATGATTTACTAGTATAAATTATGAGATGATTACCACAGTAAGTTTAGTTAACATCTGTCATCTAGTATAGACATATGCACAAAAAAGGAGAAAAAAATTATTTTCTTGTGATGAGGACTTTTAGAATCTACTGTTAGCAACCTTGAAATATACCACACAGCAGTGTTAACTATAGTCATCATGTTGTACTTTACATCCCTAGTAGTTATGTAGCTCAGTAGGATGTAGTTTGAACACCTTCAGCCAATTACCCACCCCTTCATTCCCCACCACTGACAACCACAAAACTGATCTCATTTTCTATGAGTTTGGTTGTTTTCATTTTTGTTTTTTTTCTAATTCCACAGATAAGTGAGATCGTGCAGTATTTGTCTTTCTCGGTCTGACTTATTTCATTTGGCATAATGCTTTCAAGTTCCATCCATGTTGTTGCAATGGCAAAAATTTTTCTTCTTTTTAATGGCTAAGTAGTTTTCCACTGTACGTACTTACCATGTCTTCCTTATCCATTCATCTGTTGATGGACACTTATATTGCTTTCATGTCTTGGCTATTGTAAATATTGCTGCAGCGAACATGGGGGTGCAGATGGCTCTTCAACATAGTGATATCATTTCCTTCAGATATTTATCCAGAAGTAGAATTGCTGAAGCATATGGTAGTTCTACTTTTAAATTTTTGAGGAACTTCATACTATTTTCCATAGTGTCTATACCGATTTGCATCCCCACCAACAGTGCACAAGGGTTCCCTTTTCTCCACATCTTCACCAGCATTTGTTATGTCTTATCTTTTGATAATAGCCATTCTAAAATGTGTGGGGTGATATCTCACCATGATTTTGATCTCCTATCATCTCCCAAGTAATCAATGATGGTAAGAACTTTTGCATGCACTTGTTGGCCATTACTATATCTTCTTTGGAAAAATGATTGGTGAAAGATGTTATCTCTATGTGGATTTAATTTTCATTTCTCTTATGATGAATAAGGATGAGGCGACTGGGTTTTGAAACAGGAAAAAAAAAAAGGCATGAAAGTCCCTGTGATGATAAAGACCTTGAGTGTGTATCCAATTATTTCCTCCTTATGTCAAAAAATATCCTCACACCAAGCTTGGTCCCCAATTTCCTCTTTCATCAGTAAGTTCCCTCCTCAACTGCCATAATTCCCAGGAAATTATATGGCAAATTGCCCAAGGTCACACAAGAGAAATGGGGATTTGAAAGCATATCTGTCTCGTAATAAGTTCCTTGATTAGGGTCACTCCATTACAATACATTACACCGTATTACACCAAGAGCAGAGTGGTGGGACTTTCAAGGAAGAACAAAAATCTGCTACAGGGAAGTTCAACGTAAGACAGATCCCCAAGAGTGGGTAGACAGCTGGTAAACAAAGACACAAGACAAAGTAATCATCTGAGTTAAGAAGACTGTAAGAGAAGCAAGGATGGGTCCTGAGCACATAGTTCTACTTTTATAGATATGTACTTGAGATACGTAGCAAGTAATTCCCATAGATAGTTGGATAAAGCAGCTGAATAGGGAGAGAAATTTACATATAGCTCATACCAATTGACATTGTGTGATGGTAATTGTGAGAGTTAAACAAATGTAATCCAATTTAAAACTTTGGATTATAGATACGCTATTCTTTCTGAAATTAATTAATTAATACTATATAGGATGGTTTGGTTGCTCAAAAAGACTTGGGGGAAATGGCATTGTTGGTCAAAGGGTACAAATTTCCACTTATATGATGACCAAATTTGAGGAATCTGATGTACAGCATGGTGGTTACAGTTAACAATACTGTATTATTTACTTGAAAGTTGCTAAGAGAGTAGATCTTAAATATTCTTACCACAAAATGGAAATGGGAAGTATGTGACAAGATGGTGGTGTTAGCTAATGCTATGGTGGTAATCATTTACAATGTATAAATGTACAAAATTCGTATGCAGCACACCTTAAATTTACACAATGTTTTATGTCAATTATATATCAATATAGGTGGGAAAAAAGGACTTAAGAATTACTCTTAGGGCTAATTATGATTCTTAGGTAACAGAAACTACCTTCTCCAGGAGTATCAGCCGATCAAGGCAGAAAAGTCTCAGCAGGAAAAAAAATGGGGGGAGGGGGTTTTCTTATCAACACCCGTGTGTCTAAATGTGTCTCAGGGTCTCTGGTTGGATAGACTTTTCTTGGTCTTTCTTTATGAGGACATATCACTGCAGTCCTGCAGGATGAGAACTTCAAAGGAACTGAGGATCTTCAAACTCAAGTTGAATACGTTCTTTTCTTCCACCTGGAGAAGCGTCCTGCAATGAATTTGCATACCCAGATATCCCTCCCATCAGCACCAGCACTTTCCCCTAAAGGCACAATGCTGGAGGATGTTAAAAATAACCTTTCGTCACCAGTGGCTGGGAGTCTTTGCCAGTGGATGGGCTCTTCTCCACCACGGTGTCCAACTGCCTTCTATTCCCACTGCTGTCTTCCATTTTTCATGTCATTTGACCCATGGATGTTCTACATTTTCAGCTGTTCCACTGTGTCTGGATATACCTGGATTCATTCAGCATCTGAACACTTTTTGAACAGCCATTCTGGGCAAAGCACAGCATAATCATGGGCAGCTTCAGCAGAAAATGTGCATCCAATTCAGCAAAAAGCAGTAATATGATTTCTGGAAGAGATGCCATGAACCAGAGAAGGTGAAAACTGGTGATTGAGGGTGAAGGACAAGGCTGCAAGCCAGTTCTGGGGGGCTTGTCTGCAGCTTGAGCTCTGGCCATGAACATCACTGATTCCACTGTGTACTCAAACATACTTTAACCCACGCCTGTGAGTCACACTTGGGCCATTTACAGGCTGAAAAGTCTTGGTCACTTCGTCACCCCCACCTCTCTCATTTCCTGAATCTTGTGAAACTCTCTGAGTTCCACAGAGCAACTTTATCTCACTCCCACAAGACAGAGGAGGAAGAGGTGTTTCCACAGGCCCCACTAGGCCAACTGCCTCCACTCCTCATCTCAGAGACATCCCTGGACTTGGGGCTGGATTTCAGGGATACGAGGGGGCTCCCCATGGATCTGCCTTACTACCACGGCCCTCTGTCCAAGCGAGAGTGCGAGAACCTGCTGCTCGAGGAAGGGGTGGACGGCAACTTTCTGTTAAGAGACAGCGAGTCTATGCCAGGAGTCCTATGCCTCTGTGTCTCGTGAGTAGCCCCGTCTTCCACACATTTGGGACCTTATGCTGAATGTAGGACTGATAACCAAGTAGAAAAGGCATTGCACTTGACTGGCTTTGTAGCCCATATGAGCAGAACGAGAAACAGATCGATACTACCAGGAGGGGATGGGAGGAACGTGTCTGTCCAGGTTCCTCCACCTGCCCTTCCCTCCTGGTGCAAAGCCCGCAGGAGCAGACTCGTGGAGCAGCAGAAGGGGTGGGGGTGGAGAGAAGGGCAGCTGTGGGAGAAAGGGCCTCTCCTGTAGTGGCTTGCTTATTTGGTATGGAAAAGACTAGGTGCCCTTTATGAAATTTTAACCTGAGAGGCCAGGTTTTTACACAGATTCTGCTGTGTCCACTTGCGATGCTTAAAATACAAATAATATTTCAAATTTCTTTAGACTCGTAAAAAGGCTTCAGCATACATCATTTCCTTTCATCCTTTCTGTAGTCTATCAAGGCAAGTCTAAGTAGCCATCATTTTATAGATGAGGAAACAGAGACCTGGGATTTCTCAAACAATTTGCTTGTGTTGAAATTCACTTGGTGTTTCCAAAGAGGCTGAGCTCAGTATGAAGTTCCAGGCCAGAGTATCAGAGCTATCCTGCTGAGAGGAACTTGTTTAGCCTAGTTTAGAAAGCAATCTTGAACAGATATCAGCGGGAATCTCCTGTCTTTAAGGATTCTCCTCTTTGGGGAGACCACTGAAGTTTCTCTTGTTTGTTGTGGGAATTAAAACCCAGGTGTCTCCAAGAATGTGCTTTAGTGTTTCTTAGCATTAGGAGCTATGAGGACAAAAGTGATTGCCATTCCTAACAGAATAGGCATCTTTCTTTATAGGATGCCAGGAATCCAGATCCAAGAATGGGAGCCTTAAGATGTTAGCACTTTGAATTTTCAAGTTACAAGTGATGTTGAGAGTGTTTTCATATATTTTTTAGCCATTGCTAATTCTTTTGAGAATTGCATAATCATATACTCTACATATTGTTAGCTTAAGTTAATCTTCTTTTTGCTGATTTTTTCCAATTTGTATGTAAGAAAGTAAAATTTCTTTTTCAAAAAAAGAAAACTACAGATCAATTTCATTTAATATCAACTTTCAACGAACTAAAAACAAAATAGAAGCCAGTAACATATTAAAGGAGAAAATACACTATGCTCAAGTATGGTCCAATCCAAGAAATCAAGGATGGTTCCATGGTAGGAAAATTCTTAATTTAATTATGTGTTAACAGGTCAGAGGTTACAAATTTCGTGGCTCATTCAGATTTGCTTAAAAGGTGTTAGATAAAATTCAGCATCCACCCCTCATTTTAGCACTCACTTGTGTGCACTTACACATGCATGCATTTACACACTTCCAACCGGACAGAGCTGGATAAATGCTTCCTTAATCAAAGGCCAGATGAAATACTAGGTGAATTACCCCTAAAATCATGAATAAGCCAAAAATGCTCATGGTAAGCATCTTTGTAACATTTCGCAGGAGATATTTGCAAGTGTAATTAGTCAAAGGAAAAAAATGTGGAAGTTGAAAAGGAAGATGCAAAATTATTATTATTTGCAGCCAACATGAGTTTTATACCTATGAAATCTAGATTTTACTGGAAAAAAACTACTAAAAACAAAATTCAACAAGGATATCTGCTTATACATTTGAAATTTAAAGTCAATAGCTTTCTATTTATTTATGTTCTTTTTTTTTAAGATTCCATATATAAGTGATTTCATATGGCATTTTTCTTTCTCTTTCTGGCTTACTTCACTTAAAATGACATTCTCCAGGGACATATAAAGTAGAAACAGAGCCATAGACATAGAATACAAACTTGTGGTTGCCAGAGGGAGGTGGGTGGGAAGGGACAGACTGAGAGTTCGAAATTTGTAGATACTGACATGTGTAGAATAGATAAACAAGATTATACCATATAGCAGAAGGAAATATTTACAAGATCTTGTGGTAGCTCACAGCAAAGAAGAATGCGACAATGAATATATGTATGTTCACGTATAACTGAAAAATTGTGCTCCACTCTCGAAACTGACACATTGTAAACTGACTATAACTCAATTTAAAAAATCTTTAAAAATAAAATAAAATAAATAGCTTTCTGATAGAGAAACAATAACCAAGAAGAAGATATAATAAAACATCTCATTTACATCAGCAAAAAAATAATACCCAGAAATAAATGTAATATGAAATGTGCAAGACTTGTACATAAAAGCTTAAATATCTACTAGGGAGCTTACTAGAAGTCTTACTAGAAGGGAAGGATTCAGTTTGGGAGCATATCAATTCACCATAATTAATCTATAAATTCAGTATGCTTCCAGTAAAAAAAAATCAACAGAACTTTAAAATTTTTCTTCAAAGATAGTAAGGTTTATCCAAGTGGGAAATGAAACATAGGGAACCTACCAGAGAGCCAGAAAATTTTTGATCAAAAAAAAGGGGACTAGCTCTATCAAGTCTTAAAATACATTATAAAACCACAGTAATCACTACAGTAATTAAAAGAATTCGGTACTGAGAGATCAATGGAATAGAATACAGAGGCTGGTAGAAATAAAGCCAAAAATATATGGAATTTAGCATACAATTAAAAGAGCATTTCAGATCAATGAGGAAAAGATGAGTAATAATTAGTGATGTTGGGACACTTGGCTAGTCATCTGGAAAAAAAAAAACCTGAATCCCTTTCTTACTTCTTGAAGTAAAATTAATTCAAAGTGGTTCTAATACATAATTTTTTTAATGAAACTATGTATTTTAGAAGAAAATGTGAACTATTCAAAAATATCCTGGAATTGAGAAGGCCTCTGTAACAAGGTATAAAACCCAGAAACCAAAAAGGAGAGATCGATAAATCTGACCATTATTCAAAAAAAAAAAAAAACTGTTGTTGAAAACAACTTATTCAAGATCTTGTGGTAGCTCATAGCGAAAAAAAAAATGTGACAATGAATATAAACATGTTCATGTATGACTGAAAAATTGTGCTCTACACTAGAATTTGACACAACATTGTAAAATAACTATTACTCAATAAAAAATGTAAAAAAAAAAGAAAACAACTTATTGACAAACCAACAGAAAAAAACCCAAAATTTCATTAACATATAAGAGCTTTTAAAAATCAATAGAAAACTAGGTAAAGTGCAAGAGGAGATTCTCTGAAATGGAATGTGAGAAAGAATGCTATGGGGAAAAAAATGCTAGTTCTCACTCAAAACTAAAAAAAAATACAAATTAAAAGAATAATGAGATAGCATTTTTACCTATTCAAGGGGCTAGAATCAAAACTATGAAAATACCCAGAGGAAATTCGAGTGCTGAGGAGCAGACAGGCTTGCACATGCTAGATAAATGCAGCTTCTCTGGATGGGAATGTGGTCAAATCATAAACTGCATGGATATAACATGTAACACAAATTTTCACTAATAAAAACCTATCATGTAGTCATGACTGCACAAGTATGTGCAAATTGGCATTAACAAGATTGAAATACAGTATGAAAAAGCCTCCAAGATTTATTGCTGTATGAAAAAGGCAAGATGCAAAGTACTATCCCATGTGTGTAAAAAAAAGTATGTGTATATCCTTGTACATTCATAAACAATTTTTGGAAGGTATATAAGAGACTTATAATAGTGGTTACAGCTGGGAAACTTAGGAGGTGTGAGCAGGAAAAAGGTGTCGGATTCATTCTTTTCATTTGATAACTTTTTTGCACTGTTTAAATGCTTTGTATGTGCATGTATTACTTTGATAATTTTAAAAATGTTTACAAAAATGTACTGAATCCCCATTATCTATTCAAACACTGTGCTAAGGCCTGGGGAGATTCCAATAGGGATCTTGCAATTTTTTTCAACATAATAAATAAGGAATAAATACAACAAGGGTAAAGTATAAAATCATAGAGTTTTATACAAATTCAAGGGCAGAAGAGATGAGCGGGAAAGTCTTCTTAGAGGAGGTGATATCTGAGCTGGGACTTAAAAGAGTGGATAAGATTTGGTTACACAGAAATGGGATGGAAGGCACTGTAGGGAGGGGAGAAGGCAAGAACATAGGTCTAGACGTGGGATATTTTAAAGCACATACGAATCATTAAGGGGTCTGGAAAGGTAACTCGGAAGCCAACTTTTGAAAGAGTCAGTTTGGGATAATATTATAGGGTCTTAAAAATGATTCTATAGATAATGAGGAAACATGGATCATTTCTGAGCATGGAAATGACAAGACTGGTGCTGAGTTTTAAGAACCCTAATCAAGTAGAATGAACTGAAGCTGGCAGGTGATGATAGCAACGAGACTGTTATGTCTCCAGATGGGAGATGGGGAGGAACTGGCTGTGGCGGGGCCAGCAGTGGGAACGGAGACTAGAAGAAGGTGCATGGGCTGTGACAGAGTTAGGAGAGATCTCCATCAAGATTTCAGGGTAGATAGTTGATACCTGGATTCTCTTTAAAAAATGACATTTATTCTCAACTGTTCTGTGATACATCTTCCTAGTTTATACGTTCATCTAATGCAAAAGTCACTGAGAAATTTAATAAAAATAACAACAAATCAACTGGAGAGATAAGAAAAATTTGTTAAGACACCTGCCCCTGATCAAGTCTTACCCTCTTCCCTACCCATGCCACTAAAACACATGTAAAATATTAGGCACCCTGAGGCTCAAGGCTCAGATCAAATGGCCTGCTTCACAGCTCTTGTGAAATTTTGTCATCACACAGATCGGTACAGACCATTCAATTCTAGTTGTTCAGCAATTGTTTAAAGTCTCCTATATGCCAGGCACTGTGTTAGATACTTTGTTGATAAGGCAGAGTCTAGTGAGGAAATTAAAGAAGTAAATGGACACTGTGACGTGTGTGGTAACTGATGATTTACAACAGGGGATGATGGGAACTTGAGAGGAAGGAGTGAATCATTTATCAGGGAGTGGAAAGCCTACATAAGATCTGGG